AGTAAAAGAAGGAACTAAAAAAACTGTTTTTATTAATTTTGAAGAAACGTGGAAAAAACTAAATAGAGAAAAGACTCATTTAATTTCTTTTATATACAAATTTTAATTAGATCAGTTTAGCGCCAGAAAATCTTATTATTTAAACATTTGTTAAATTTACTATTTTAAAGATCCATCTGCACTGTATTATCCAAAGTTTGCAATTTTTGACATTTCGTCCATCTAAAATTCTATTAAATCTTGGTCCTGACATTTTTCTTTTTATAGTAATCGTTTTCCTAACATTGAGGATAAGAATCCAGTTTTTCCTTGGTCCGTTTCAACGCCATCTAAAATTTTCGTAACCTCAATGATATTTTCGGGTTATTTTCTATATCTTACGTTAAATCTATCCATATTTGTTTGAAAAGCTGTCATATTCCTCCTATCGACACAGTCCCTTCCAGAAACTCCAAAATTTTTTAGTTTCTCACGTAAATCTTTGTCTATTGTAAAATTATTTTGTTCCATTTATATAATTTATATTTTCAAATCAAAGTATAATAACCAGGATCGATTTGAAATTCTTTGTGGACCATAGACAATTGTTAAACATTTATATTTTATTTATTATAAACAAAATTAATTTTTATATTCTTAATAATAATCCGATAAGATATTTTTTTTATAAATAGCAGGATTATTCTGAATTTTAGAGCAAAAAAACTGCAGGTACTTCAATTCCAAAAGTAAATGGACAAAAAGATTAAATGGCATTTTAAGGCTTTTTATCCTCAGATCGTATTTTTTAGACACTCTTTAATTAAAATTCAAACATAAGTAAGGTTAAAAAGTAATTAATTTTTTTTCATAAAAAAAATTTTTTTAATATTGTAACGTCCCTATAGCTCAATTGGTTAGAAATACTTAAGCGTATGACTGTTAATCATAAGGTCGAGAGTTCGAGTCTCTCTGGGGACGGTAAAAAATTCCAATAAAATAAACATTTTAACACACACTCCAATTCTAATAAATAAAATTTTTGAAAACTATGAGCACTATACATTCGGGAGTAAGTAAAAATGTGAAAATTGTTTTTTAAATTTTCAAGTGAAAATTTTAATAAAAAAATTTTTAAGTTTGATTTAAATGTTACAATTTTCTCTCCAGAAGGAAAAATTTATCAACTTTTTTATGTCAATGCATTGATAAATAAAAATTTGTTGTTGATAGGAATGAAATGCAAAGATGGGATATTGATGATAGCGCAAAAAGTATACGATCAAATAGAGAAAAAAAACTCCAAAACGAGGAAAATCTTTACCGTTGATAGATTTAATTTAGTAGGAAGTATTGGGAATGTAGGCGACATAAACAGACTAGTTTTAAGAGCTAGATTCGATAATCTAAGATTTAAAGAAATATACTCGGAAAATCTTTCCGGAAAAGTTTTCCTGGCCAGGCTAAGAGAATTGGTCCATTTGCACACAGTTTATTGGCATCTAAGACCCTTTGGTTGTATCCTCTTGATTGGTTCGGTATATCATTCTGATTTTAAGCTTTTTTCAATTTTTCCAAATGGAGAATCGGTAGATTGTAAACTATCTATTCATGGGAAAAATTCTTTTTTTTTAAAAAATTTTGTAGAAGATCTAACTTCAGGGTACAAAACTTGTAAAAACTACATTAAAAAAATTTGTAGAAAAATACGAATTTTCAATAGTCTGAAAGAAGGGGATTGTTTTGAAATTTTTTTCTATTCAAGAGAAAACTTATCTTTCGAAAAACCAATTTCATGCAATCTTGAATTAGAAATCGAGAGGTTTCTAGACC